GCGGGGCACAGCCATTTGAGGGGAAAACATAGAATTTTCCCCTCAAATGGCTGTGCCCCGCCCCAGCGTGATGATGTCACAGGGAAGTGACGTACATGCGGGAGTGGGGTTTCCCCCGGGCCCCGATTCCGCGGGGGTGGAAATTGGGGCTCCAAAGCAGGGGGAATTCCGCCCCCCGGGGGGATTTGGCAGCCCTATGTTGACCACATAAGGCAAGAGACATTCAGACATTCAAGGCAAGAGACATTCAGAGGTGGTATGCCATTGCCTGCCTCTGCATAGCAACTCTGTTATTCCTTGGTGGTCTCCCATCCAAATAATGACCAGGTACAACCCTGCTTAGCTTCCGAGATCTGACAAGATCGGGCTAGCCTGGGCTATCCAGGCTCTTATCAATATTAGGATATCATCATGATGTTTCAATTTCTGTGTTTTCAGGTGATGGAAATCAAAGGACAGATGATCCATGTCCCAGAATCCAACTCCATTTTGTTTTTGGGTTCCCCTTGTGTGGACAAGCTGGATGAACTGATGGGCCGAGGACTCCACCTTTCTGACATACCGATCCACGATGCTACCCGTGACGTCATCCTCGTTGGGGAGCAGGCAAAGGCTCAGGATGGCTTGAAAAAGCGAATGGACAAACTGAAGGCTACGTTGGAACGAACACACCAGGCTCTGGAAGAGGAGAAGAAGAAAACGGTGGACCTCCTCATTTCCATCTTCCCAGAAGAAGTGGCTCAGCAACTGTGGCAAGGGCAACAAGTTCAAGCCAGAAAGTTTGACGATGTGACCATGCTCTTCTCGGACATTGTTGGCTTCACAGCGGTCTGCGCTCAATGCACCCCCATGCAGGTGATCAGCATGCTCAATGAGCTCTACACACGATTTGACCACCAGTGTGGATTCCTCGATATCTATAAGGTAACTTACTTCATCTTCCAATGGCCCTTTAAAAACTCTATAGAAGTCAATTTACTAAAGGTATTCATGTAAAAAAATAAATGAAAGGTTTATTATATAGGAAACTATGATTCCTTAGGTATATAATGCGTGCCATAGAATTGAGTTTTGGAGAGAATTGTGGTGTGCTTACACTAGGATTAAAGGTGCTCAGATTTCTACTCAGCACTAGAAGAAAGATGGAATGGAATGAATATAGTGACACTGGTCCATGATGTGCCGTACTTGGAAGTCAGTGTTGTGAATTTCTCATGTTAAACAAAGAGCCGTATAATGTAATCCTATACATGTTTGCTTGGCAATAAACTTTACTGAATAGTGCTTTCTTGCATAGGATTAGAACAGAAGTAATCTTTATTCTGTTGTTGTTTTTAGCCATTCAGTTGTGTCCGACTCTTGGCGATTCTGTGGGCCAGCTCTCTTCACATTTTCCAATCTTGTACTGTTTCTTTGAGTCATTCCATGCTCAGACTGGTGTCAACTTTTATGGTGTCTAGCCACCATGTTCTTTGGCGGCCCGGTTTCCTTTTGCCACTAACCAACAAGCATAATTGCTTTTTCTAGTGAGTTCTTCTGCATGACATGGCCGAAATAAGTCAGTCACAGTGTGGTGTATTCGAAAGGCTTACATGAATCGCCGTGTTCACTCTACAGGTTAAGCTTCAAGCCAGACAAAGGCTCCTCTGAACTGACTTACTATTGGTCGCTCCACATCAGCGACCAATCAGAACTGCACTATTCCCTGCGAGGGAAGAACTCCCATTGGATGTTATCCACACAAATTCATTGGTTGATTAGTGTAAATAGGCGTGGCTACATTAGCCCAGGAATGTTTAAAAGGAGCCTAGCTCCCAATGTTAATCTGTTCTGGTTATGACTTCTTTCAAGCGCTTGTTCGTACCTACAATAAAGCTGATCACTTTTGTTGAAATCACTCTCCGGATCTTTGTTAGCGGCGATCTAACAATTGGCGATGAGGATGGGATGTTAGAGTGGGTAGGCAGCCCTGCTTAACAAACCCCATGACGAACGAGGACAAGCACAGCACCATGGCCACTCCAGCGGAAGCACCACGAGCACCAGTGGACGAACCTGCCAGGATGGCCAATAGCCAGAAGTTCGAGGCATTCGAACCCGCGACGGAAGATTGGGATGTGTACCTTGCACAGTTCGAGTTCCACTTGAAGGCCAACGACATCGAGGCGGAGGTGAAGAAGCGAGCCAGCCTGCTGAGTTCCTGCGGGAAGAACGTTTTTGACATTGCCAGGTCGTTGGTAGCTCCGGCCAACAATAAGACGGTGTTGTTCCAGGAGCTTACACAAAAGCTGAAGGCCCATTTCTCCCCACAGCCATCAGAGATTGCCTGCTGGCATGTTTTCTACAAACGGAGCCAGGCAGCAAGCGAGTCAATCGCAGAGTTTGTGGCGGCCCTACGGAAGGCAGCGCAGCCGTGCAATTTTACCAACATTGAGGAGGCACTCAGAGACCGACTGGTGTGTGGCCTTCGTGATGAGAGGCTGCAGCAGCATTTGTTTGCGCGCACAACCCTGACCTGTGCTGTGGCTTATATATTGTGGAAACGGGTAATGTATGATTTATAAATGCTGTACTGTTTTAACTTAGGGGGGGAGGAATTATGGTGTATTCGAAAGGCTTACGTGAATCGCCGTGTTCACTCTACATGTTAAGCTTCGAGCCAGACAAGGGCTCCTCCGAACTGACTTACTATTGGTCGCTCCACATCAGTGACCAATCAGAACTGCACTATTCCCTGCGAGAGAAGAACTCTCATTGGACATTATCTGCACAACCTCATTGGTTGATTAGTGTAAATAGGCGTGGCTACATTAGCCCGGGAATGTTTAAAAGGAGCCTAGCTCCCAATGTTAATCTGTTCTGGTTATGACTTCTTTCAAGCGCTTGTTCGTACCTATAATAAAGCTGATCACTTTTGTTGAAATCACTTTTCAGATCTTTGTTAGCGGTGATCTAACACACAGTTTTGTGATTTTTCCATCCAATGACATGTCTGGTTTTATGCACTCCAATACTTGCTTGTTTGTCACCATTGCTGTCCAAGGAATGCGCAGGAGCCTTCTTCAGCACCACATCTCAAATTTTTGTCCTAGGAAAGTATGAATTTGGTGAATAGATTTTTCATAGGTAACAGTTGTAGAATCACTTTTCATTTTTGACTCCTTGTTTTAGTTGCTTGCTGATACCTTTCTCATTTTTGACTCCTTGTTTTAGTTGCTTGCTGATACCTTTCTCAGCAGTTTGCAGAGATCCATTATAACTATATGCTATTCAAAGACTCAGTGGCTGGGTCCTGCCTAGATTTTCATGGGTACAGGGGTGGTGGTGTTTTTTGCCAGTCTCCCACTTCTGCAGGAGTCATCTGATTCCTCCCAAGCTATTCCTGGAGGTGGGATCTCCTTAAGGCAATCTTCACGTTCAGAGGCAGTCAACCACTGAATCCCAGTTCCAGGAGGCAACATCAGGGGAAGGCCTCAGTCGCCTGTGTCCTGTTGTTGGCTCTACAGAGGGATTGTGTAGCCACTGTAAGGGGGCTGGACCAGATGGACCACTGGTCTGATCCAGCAGGGCTCTTCTTATGTTCTAAGCAGGAAGCAAGTCAGCGCTGTGCTTCTTCTCTTATAGGAGGAGATCTGGGATGTACAAATAGGCCCTTTCTTTTCTTTTTTTTGTCATTGTCAGGCTTTTTGTTCTGCTCATTTTCCTCCTTTTATTCTTTGATACCTTTTATGCACAATTGAGGCACAAACAACACTGGAAAAAATGTGTACATTTTATGGGAAAGTTTGGGTATGAAGAAATAGAAAATGATGCAAAGATAAAAGCCCGGGAGTTCCATTCACAGATAGAAGAAGCTAAATTGAAACAGGAATCTGGCCTCTAGAGCAACAGGAAGTATGCCATAGCATCTCCTAGATGAGATCTCTTTGCAGCTTTGCATCGAGGCTGCTCTTGGGCTGATTTGGCACGAACTTGGGCCTTTTCATGAGGCTTCTCTGTATGGTACACAGCAAGCACTGGAGTGCAACAAATCTTTGTGCTGCAGAGCTGCCTTCAGCTTTTTTGTTTTCATGTATCTTTTCTCCTCAGGAGCATTTTTTTTTTAAAAGCTGCCTGACGAGACCGACCATAAGCATGAAGTGAACATGCCCCTTTGGCAGCTTTAAGCCTGCAGGGCTGGCTGAACACTGAGAACTTCAGAGAACTGTGTGGCACTTTCCCATATAACCGCCAGTCTCTTGCAGGCACAGATAAAAGAAACTCGGGGATTTGGATTGAGAGGAGCTATAGGGGGCGTATTGGTCATGTTACATTTTTTTTTGGGGGGAGCCACTTTGTTTGTTTGTTATGTGGTACTTTTAGGCCATGCTTTCCAGCAACAGTCGTCAAAGCAGCTTGTGAGGTAAAACGATTAAAGCAATGGCGACATTGTAAGACAACATGAAATAAGACAAAATGACCAACATAGAACTGTTGGAACATTAGATTAAAAAACAAACAACCCCCCCCCTTCAAATCAGTGAATAAAAACAGCTGATAAAACATTAGGCTTAAATGGTTGGAGTCCAGTACGGAGCTGTAATGCAGCAGATAAGAACACTACTGGGCATGTTAAACAGCTGCAGTTGAGGGTTATTATACTAAACAAAGTGCCAGGGGTAAATAACAGAGTTTTTGCTTTGTTTTCCTTTTAGAGCCAGTGTGGTATATAGTGTGTTGGAATAGGACCAGGGAGAACTGGGTTCAGATTTGTGCTTGAGCAAGACACTCTCTCCCAGCCTTACGTTCCTCAGAATTGCTGAGAGGAAAAAAATGGGATAGAATAAGTATGTGTGCTGCCCTGAGATTTTTGTCAGAAAGGCAAGATGAAAATGTTACAGGTAGATATATATTACATCAGTCTGTTGGATGAGTACAATGGAAATATATATATTCAGCTTAATTTACCTCAGAAAGTGGTTGTAAGGGTAAAGTAGGAGAGGGAAGGAACGTATATTTATTTTTATGTATTTAGAAATATTTTATGCAGCCTCAAAAGGGACCTGCCCAAGGTGGCTTACAGATTAAAAATAAAAACCCAACATTAGGTAAAAGTGCCTGAAGTCTTTAGAGAAAGTACAGAATGAAAATACATATGATTTTTAAAAGAATAAAATACTGACTTCCAGTGTCTATTCCAGCAGGACAGTAGGGAAAATCCAGTTTGGAGAGCCAGTTTGGTGCAGTGGTTAAGTGCGCGGACTCTAATCTGGGAGAACCGTGTTAGATTCCCCACTCCTCCACTTGCACCTGCTGGATGACCTTGGGCAAGGCATAGTTCTGATAAGAGCTGTCCATGAAAAAGGGCAGTTTCTGTCAGAGCTCTCTCAGCCCCACCTACCTCACAGGGTGTCTGTTGTGGGGAGGGGAAGGGAAAGGAGTTTGTAAGCCGCTCTGAGATTCCCTTGGGCCATGAAAGACGGGGTATAAATCCAATCTCTTCTTCTTCTTCTTTTTCTTCTGCTTAATTGTGATTAATTGTTATTAATGTTTTTATTGCTTTTATCCTGTTTTATATGGGCTTTGTCCCTTGTAAGCCGCTCTGAGCCTGTTTTGCGGGGAGGGTGGGGTAAAAATCCAAATAAATAAATAAATAAATAAATTCTTCTTCTCCCGGACCTTAAGACATACATTTTTCTAGCCTCCCCACCAAGGAACATAATTTGGGCACCAAATTTTTTAAAAATCACAAGAATTTTTCATCCTAACTCTGCAGTGAGGCTTAATTGCTAGGAATGGGCATAAACGGTGTGATGAGCCATAGTTTGTGATGAATTCTGGCTGGATCGGGGCTCGGGAGGCAACATTCAGCATGCACATTGTCTCAGAAGAAATCTCCAAGCTTTTGGGCACGGCTTGGGGCAGCTCGGAAAATGAAAGCCACA